AGGTCAGGTTTTGTTTTTGTACATTGTCTTAATCATATTCATATCTGTGGTTTGGAAAGAGACTGAAGCCAAATTGTGACGGTGGAGAACTTGCTGCTTTAGGGAAGTTTTCTGGGAACTCATGATTCAATTAGGTTAAATCCCATTTTTTTTAAAAGATTTTTTTTTAAAGATTTTATTTATTTATTTGAGAGAGAGAGAGAGAATGAGAGATAGAAAGCACGAGAGGGAAGAGGGTCAGAGGGAGAAGCTGACTCCCTGCCGAGCAGGGAGCCTGATGCGGGACTCGATCTAGGTACTCCAGGATCATGACCTGAGCCGAAGGCAGTCGCTTAACCAACTGAGCCACCCAGGCGCCCAAATCCCATTTTTTTTTTAAATGCTGCTGAGTGGCAAACGTGCAAATACACATTAAATATAAATAATATATATATAAAAGCCCAACAGACAGCTTAGGATAGAAGAAAATTGGTCAGTATATCAGTGTTTCAAACCAAGTCATGTTCTTTTTTTGGTTTTATTTCAGGACACATTTAAAAACATTTACCACTACTATCATTGTACTTCCAATGGAGAATTCCGATTCCCCAGTTCAATGCAGGCTAGTTCCTCAGCCTCAGTTTGGTGAGATGAAACCACTCTCTTCTAGGAGGGGAGAGCTGGGACCCGTCCCCACGTCGGAAGATGGTTCAGCCACTGACAGGAGTGGTGGATTCTGCCTGATCTATTGGACCAGCATAGATCAGTCTGAGAGGCAGCTTTGGAAGACTTTTTGACTTGGCGATTTTCTGGGTCTGTGAATGTTTTTTAAGAAATAGAAACCCACTACATTCCTGTGCTTTTGCTCCGTTGTTAATTTTGTTTCTGAACCAGCAGGCTTCCAGTGGAAACCTGACACCTTATGCTGCATGTATTTTAATCTAAAATGGATCATTGGGCCTGTACCCCTTTGCCAAGTACGATCACTGAATTTATAAAATGGACTTTGGTTTTTAACGTTACAAGCTCAGAGACGAAGCAACGGCCCTCCCGTGAATCCAGCCGTTCCAGTTTAAGAGAGCCAAAGTGATCCAAAGCCGTGGTTTTATCAGTTGGTTTTCCCAAGGCACGGTAGGTTTCGTTGTTAGTCGGGTTTATATAAGAGACACACATCTTCTGAATTTTGCTGAAACCTTCTCTTTTTGTTAATGTGTTCAATAGTTACATAATTCTAGGCTATGTGGTTTGCACATATAGATACATGCATACATGAGAGTAGAGCCTGCCTTACAACACAATCGGTCTTCCCTTTCTCTGGTCTCTTAAACTACTCCTTTTGGGCTGTGAATCCAGGTTTCTGCACCATTTGCTTCATCTAGTCAACAGTGACTTAAGTGTCGGTTTCCCCATCTGGCAAATGTAGAAACAGTGCCTACTTCACGGGGTTAGGGGGGATGTGGGGGGGTGTGGTGTGGGGGTTCAGGATTAAAGATGGTAATGTATATAAAATGCTTGACATGATAACTGATGACAAATGTTTGCTGTTTTAATGATCAGTTCTGTGACTCTAATGTTCTAGGGTTGGAGGTGGGAAGACAATGGTTTCCAACAGCAAGACCCCACTAAAAGGGCAGATGGAAAACTCAGTCTCCTGCTTGTCCTCCAGCAGGGATGGGTCATTGCAGTTCCTCAGAATTAGGGCTGGAGCAGTTTTTGCTTCCTCGAGGATGGATTGAGAGGATCTCTGTTCTCCGCTGAGATCAAAATTGGGACTTTGATTTTCCTTATGAAAAATTGGACATGGTCAGTTCAAGTAGGAGAGATGCTATGTTGTATCAGCAGCAAGTTTAGGGCTTCACATCTGGGGATAAAAATTGCTGATACTTATGTGGAATTTTTTCTGCTTTGCGTCTAATGATAAGATTCTCAGAAGGCCACTCTCTTGTTGGAGCACTTGGCCCACTTATAACTGACAAATTGTGAGGATGTGCTTCACATCCATCTTCCGTTTTGGACCACAAGTGACTCTTCCCTGTGATGGAAGAGACCATGTGTTTTGCCCACTGCTGCGTCCAGCTCCTCACAGAGCCTGGCCTATGTACTTCTTGACTGACTATTAGCCAAAGCAGTATTTCAGATTCCATGTAAGTGGACAGAGAAGAGGTGAGGAAGGAGGGGTTAAAAGAGAAATGGATCTCCTGAAAATTAGGTTACTTTATCAGGTGTCCTATGTTGAGAGAGAAGCAGAGTGAACCTCAGGTCTGAATCGGTCCTCTTCTCTGAAGGGGCCTGCCTAGGACTGGGGACTGAGCCTTATGAAAGGCTTGGATAGGCAACATAATAAAAATCACAAGATGCAAATCAACTTTCTTCTGTGATGGCAATGTTACAGAGAGCTTTTGAGTTGTTTTGGATAACTCGGTAGCCATCTAAAAATGACTTCGGCTCATAAAGAATGTGGGAAGATAGGGTAGAGGAAGGGCCCCAGGAGCAAGCCGTAGTGGCCTTGGCTGTTAGACTTCTTTTGTCCTGACTTGAAAATCTTTCACGGTTTGAATCTCGTATTTTTTAAATCAAAACTATAGTGCTGAACAAGAGTTAAACACCTAGACTTTATTTAGCCCTTGACTGAGATGTGATACGACTTCGAGGCTATTCTATGTTAAAATATGGTGGTTATTTTTCATCACCAGTGAGATGGGTAAATCTGAGATGACAAAAACTTTAAGGTAATGAAAAGGACAAAGGATAGAGCCAAGGAGTTTTTTAAAAATTGAAGTTCAGGGAAAATGATGAAATCCCCTACTCTAGGGATATTTAGGAAGAGGGTAGAGTCCATTTCCCTGAGATTGGGAGAACAACAGGTAATTCTATGTGAACAGTGGTAACCATTTAGTCTTCCTTGTGTTTCAGTAAGAACAGCAAGACTACACTTGAAGGAAACCTGTTAAAAAGTCCACCCTTGGAGTTCACAGAGTAGGGGTCTCTTCTCGCAGAGGAGTCCCATCTAAGCAAACTATTACTATGGCTCTTTTAGAAACCCATGGTGAAGGCTGATCTGCAAGTCCCGTGAAGCCTATTTGAATTCATGTGTGTTAAGGCCTAAGGTTTAGCAGGCACTTTACCTCATTGAAGCTGGTGCTTTAATACTGAGGGGACATTAAAACCTAGTCACACAATATATCCTGTCTCCACCAAACAGCGTTAACCACCACCACAAAAAACCTACCATAAACTGGGCAGAATCATGCTAAACAAGGCTTTTACATTGCTTCAGGCAGAGGCAGACCATATCTTTACTCATAATGCTTTTCCTTAGTTTCACCAGCGATATTAGTCATTTCAAAACCTGGGTGAGCTTCTCCTGCTTCTTTCTGGGACCAGTTCTGTTTCCCACAGGCCGAAGCCTATCTACATGCGGGCTGAACATCCAGGCTTTCCCCATAGAGCATTTGGTGACGGGGCAGGGAGGGTTGGGGGAACATTTGCGCAGGGCATTCCCTGAACCACAGTAGGAACTGCTACTCGAGAAAGGAGAAAATCCAGGTTTCTTGGAGAGTCCCGGGGCAGAGATGGTGGTATGATGAGGTGTGACACACAGAGCCGGATTTTCCACTTGGCTGTAGCTTTGGTAGTGATTTTTCATCTAGGTTGGAGTAAGAGTATTAAGGGCCAGAGGCAGTGATGTGCAGCAATAAAGGGCAAGGGGGCCCCGGGGCTGGGAGGTTTGATATCTCTGGACATTATCTCTGAATGCAAAGAGCTCCCTCCGAAAGCCCTTCCGGGCCTCCTGGAACTGAGGGCAGGAAACGGAACAGCGGGTGTCAATGGAGAGCCCCTAGAGGAGAGAGAGGCCAGCCTGGTGGACAGGCTGCCCCGCAGTGGGGTTCAGGAGGGGCGGGGTGCGTGACACCCTCCTCTGTCCCCGCACTACCCCTGGGGCTCTGCACATCTCCACTTCTGTCTCCCTCACGTAGCGAACGTGACAGGAGAGGATCAGAGAGCTCCAGCGATTTGCCCCAGGTCACATAGCGAGCATGTGAACATATTTGGTCTAAAATCAGACTCCAGAATCTTTCTCAGACTCCACCGTTCCTTCCACGAATAATGTTTATCTTTGTTTCTCCCTTTCTCCCAAGCTTTACCAAGAGACACTATCTCCCAGAATGAGAAACATCTGGATGTTGTTGGGTTCGCTGACACATGCATTTGGTGACCCCACAGAACATTCCGGCGGCTGCTCGGAGCTATGAAGGAAGCGGCTGCTGCTTTCTCTGGCCCGGGGAGCTGGCTGGGTGAGTGCCTTCAGTCACGGAAAGTCCCTTCCCCAGATGGACTCTGGCTTTCCACCGGCTTCTCCTGCTTCTAAAATAAAACCGGGCTAATCCCTCAACCATGCAAGGTCAACAGGTGGGCTTGCCCCTCCAGCATTCGTCAGAGGTGTGAAGAGGTCACTTTTTTATGTGCATGGCTTCGCTCCTCTGGCTGCCACACCTCTGTCCTGATCCCGCTGACCGGCTCTGATTACTTCTGTGCCTGCTCGGCCAAAAGCCTCTTCACGGTCGCTCTTTTCTCCGGTTAGCCTCTTGCTGAACTTGGCCTTCAGAGTTACCTTCGCTTTTCTTTAACGAGCAACGTCCGTGAGCGCAGGCGCAAGCCGCGTGGGCACTGCCCTACCTGGGGACTGGGGGCCATTCGGCCGTGAAAAGCTCCGATTGCCCCCCTCCGCCCCCCATTCCTATCAACCCCACGGATGCAGTCGGATGACTTCCTCAGGTCCTCCGGCCGTGGCGCTGGGGCACTGTAGAAAGAACTAGCCCCAAGTATGTTTAGAATTGATAGTTCTAAGAGCAGGCTTGGTCTGCGTTTTCAGTCCTGCAGTGGTGAAGAGAACTGACCACAGCGTGTGGGTTTACAGCGCAATACAGACGTGATGAGAAAACAGTCAAGAACACGGCAGCGCCCCGCCCCGTTTCAGAGCCCCGCCCCATTCCCACGGACACATTCCCCAAACAAGCAACTGCACGGGTAACGCATGTCATGGTTTATTCACTTTGGGCCACTCGAACAGACTTTGTCCACATTTCCTTAGTGCACTTTTTTTTTTGGATTTGAAACCATCAGTACATTAAAATAAAAGAATTAGGTCAAATATGCCATAAACAGTTTTGAAATTTGTTTTAGATGTTAGACTAACACCACCATTTAATAGGTGGCCTTCGTGTGGCCTATGGAAGCCAACAGTTTCTAAGGAATAAAGAAGAGCAGAAAACCAAATATGAATTTGGGGGCATTTTAGAAAAACATATCACAAAAAGCTTCATTAAAAACATCTTTGCATTTTTAAACTTTTCTAACTTCCAAAATGTGATTTTGAACATTATGCAAATATTTTAGAGACAGAATAATATATTTTTTAAATATCATCCATTTCTCTAATGAACAATCAGGAAAATAGGTGACAGGTGACTTCAGTTTCACAGGCAAATATATATGGGGTACACATTCATATGTCTATTTTCTGATTACATCTTACTCTAGGTAATGAGGGTGCTTGGTCCAAATGGGGCTTGTCAGGAGCAGAATTGCCAGACAGTGTGAGTGAAGTGCGATGCTGAGCTCTGCAACACTTTACTGGGGGAGAGAATGAAAATCAGGTGCAACCAAAAAGACAATCCTCAATTGGCTTGCTCTTCGCAACTCAGGAGGATGAGTAAAATGTGTTCACCCTGAGAGTTACTTTTAGAGAACTTCAGGGAGAAAATCTGGAGCCCCTGATCAGCATAAAGTGGCAGGTAGGGGGCTTGGTTGGTGGTGGAGGACCCCAGTGCAGTGCCCCTGGTTAGAGCAATTATTTATTCTCCACAGGTGATGTGGGCACAGAATTGAGCTGTCTGAATTGGAGGCACGAGGAAGCAATTTCACCTTTGCTGCATTTGCCTCAGGAGCCCATGTCCTTAGGGTGAGGTCTGTTTGCTTGATGCTGATGTCGCCAGTCTGTCAGCCCTGTTGGTCATTCCTCTCTTGCTGCTAGAAGAGTTTCTCCTGTTTCCCCTTCTGCCTTGGAGCTGAGGGGGTAACAGGGCCTTCCCAAGAAAGCGGAGCCTGAGTTGTGGGGTCAACACACAGGGGTGAGATGAAAGACACTAAGAAGTAGGTAAGCACCCAAGCCTTGGTCCCAGAGACAGTCACCTGTGAGGACAGGTGTGTGACAAAGCCCAATCCAGAGCCCTTCTAATGGGATCAGGAACCTGGGGGACACATACAGCCTTCCTTCCAAGGAGGTGACTGGCTGGTCCTACTAAAATATCTATCCCAGTTGGGTAGGGGGTTGGGTTCAGCCCTCCGCCAGACTCTGAGGAATCTGCGTCATCCCTGGACCTCAGAGGAGCGAGCTGGTGCTCTGGGATGTCTAGAGCAGCAGATGTAGTGGAGGTGCAGAGGGGTCCCCCTAAAGTGGGCAGGAGACCTGAGCTGCTGGCCTCTCTGGGCCTAGAGGCAGCTGGATGAAGCGTGCAGCATTGTTCTGCCCTTGCTGGCAAATGTTGGGTAAGAGTGGGAGGGGTCCCGAGACATTGAGTTGACTTTGAGGCAGCTTTTGTCCACGTCTAGCTCAGGGCTGCACACGGGAGGGGATGGGGGTCTCTTGACTCTTCAGGGTTTGCCTATGGCCATACCCGTGGCTTCCCCTCTGCTCTCCTTCTGGCAGGCTAGAGTCTCCCTCCAGCCCCTCTCCTTCCTATGGGAATGCGTGCAGAGCTGACTCGACAGAGCGGGAGTGGAGTATCTGGCAGTGGTGACTTTGCGGCCGTCCCTGTATTTTCTTGAAACAGCACCTAGATCGACTGCTCCCTCTCCCTCTCTTAAAGCTGGAGGCTCAGAAGACAGGGATCTGGTTTCTGTGGACCACATCCAGGTCATCATCCAGGGTTAACAGAACCTGGAATGAGAGGGACAGAGAGATGAAGCCAGGGTCAGCCGCAACCTTCTCCCTGAGACTCACACAGGCTGACGTGACCGGCGCCCTTACTTGCCTTTGTCCCCTACAGCTTTCTGCAACGCAGCGCTCTCTACAGGCGATTATTAGGATTACAGAGTTTACGTAGAAATTAATTCAAATGTTTATCAAGGGTCCATTATGTGCTATTCTAAATGCCAGAGATAGTTTGGAACACAAGAGACAAAACTCCCTACCGTTCTGGAGCTTACATTTGAGAGACAGCTTCAGACATGAGCAAATACATGTAGCATGCTAGTGAGGTGTGCTAAGTACAGTGTTCAAGGTAATAACACGTAATAAAAACAGTAATGAAAATTAGACCATGGAGGGAACACAGGAAGTATGGGTTGGGGAAAGGTAAAAAAGTGCCGATAGAGTGGCCAGGGAAGTCATAACTTAGAAGGGGACATTGGGCTTAAGATCTAGAGGAAAGGAAGTCTTGTTGCATAGAGTATTGCTATACAAGAAATGCACACCCCCTCCTCCATTTTTAGTTCCCTCTACCACTGCTCTCTTCACGTGGAAACTTTCACTCCTTTTGTTGTCTCTGTCTCTCTAATGAAAGTGTTTATCAGAAATAAAAGTCACAAGGAACGAGGTTTAGGCGGATTGTTGAACTTCCCCGGCTGGCCACGAGGGGGCAGCCCCACTCCACTCTCGAGGCTGCGCGGCGGCAGCGGAGGGAGCGCACAGGTCTCGCCGTGTTGTTACTTGCCAGCAGAATCCGTGTCCAGGCACCGCGGACTTTTAATATGGAAAAGTCTCTAAATGAGGATGAAAGGATGCGAGGAGTGATCATCCAAGGCTGTTAGGCCATGCATAGCTTCTGGAAAGGTGTTTGGGCCAAAAGAAATGGAGGGATTACAGGAGAGATCTGGGGCCGACTGGTGAGAAGCAGCAGAGGCGCCTGGGCGGATCTCCTGAGCGCTCTAGGAATTTGTAAAATATCTGTAAGATATTCAGTGAGACTGGGAGAGGGGGAATGTGAGGGTGGCACAAGTATGTTACCCAAATGTGAGTGAATGCCAAAAGTGATTCCCGGGGCGATTCAGGGCATGTGAGTTCTAACAACCAATTCAGCCCAGACGTTGTGCCATTTAAGAAAAATCATTTTGTCACTCTGTCTTAAAATATTGGAGAGTAAAAGGAAAACGAAAATAAAGATCTAACTGAAGGAGAAGAAATAAAATAGTCTGTATGTTGAATTACAATGAGGAATCGGAAAGGGAAGTTCGAGAGAAATACAAAAAGGTAAGGAAGAGGGGGAAAAAAAGTATGGGATGTGAAGAAAGAAGAAATTAACAAAAAGGTATTTTTAGGGGCGCCTGGGTGGCTCAGAAGGCTAAACCTCTGCCTTCCACTCAGGTCATGATCTCAGGGTCCTGGGATTGAGTCCCGAGTTGGGCTCCCTGCTCAGCAGGGAGTCAGCTTCTCCCTCTCCCTCTCCCTCTGCCTCTCCCCCTGCTCCATTTCCCTCTCGTTCACTCTCTATCAAATAAATGAATAAAATCTTTTTTAAAAAATGTATATTTCTTAAAGAAAAGGTATTTATAAACTCACCAAGAATGAAAAAAACAGGGCAGTGGCAGAGAGGAAGTGCCAGATGTCATGGTCATCAAAGAAATCCAGCAGGATACACTCCCGGTTCCTCTCCCGGGATTCAGCTGGGGTGTCCTGGAGGAAGGCGAGGCAGGACGTGAGTGAGCATTCCCACAGTTCAACTGTTTAGAGGACTGAACATCCAGAAAGCTACAAAAAGGCTACTAGATTAGATGCCTGGCTCCAAAAGTGAGCTTCCAAGAAAACCTGAGTCCACGTGAAAACTTGTACACAATGTTCACCGCAGCAGCATTCGTAAGAGCCAAAGAGCGGAAACAATCCAAATGTCCATCAGCTGATTATAGAGGAGAAGTGCTGTCTCCACACAAGTGAGTGTAATTCAGCAGTAAAAAGAGATGGCTACGGATATGTGCTACCCCACGGATGAATGCCTGAGCCAGACTCAAAGGCACATGTTGTATGACCCATAGATATGAAATGTCCAGAACAGGCAGAGCTACGAGACAGAAGAGAGACTGGGGGTTGCCTGTGGCTAAGGCGTGAGGGAGAAGTGGGGAGCGACGGCTAATGGGCGCAGGCTTGCTTTCTGGAGTGATGAAAATGTTCTAGTTGATTGATTGTGCCGGTGGAGAGAGAGCTGAGGCTTCCTGTCTGCTCCTGGGTATAGCCCTGGTTTCCTAGGCCTCCGCTCTCCTCTCTATGCTGCGGGTTTATAAACGCCGGCAGCTGGGGATCTGTTTATGGATGTGGATTATGAAGAACACACACGTATCAAGGTTTTTGCACACGTTAAACATCCACTGGGGGGAGGATCGTCATACAACACATAATGAAGATCAATTCTGTGGCGTCTGGAGGGCCCCCACGTCGACGAGGTGGGGCCCTGACGGTGAGGACCGCGTGCCGTTTATGCATGGATAGGAAATACCATCCCTTTTAGAGAAAGCTTTCATTTCAAAGACAAACAGCCACAAGCACTCGAAGAGAGGGAGGTAGGAAGGTCCACAAGGCAAGATGGAGGGAGAACATTTTCTTTGCAAAGAAAACTGACTTCTTACCTCCCAGCTGCTGGGGTTCTGGAAGAAAAAGTACAGCGAGGCGGCCCACATCACAACAGTGGCCACGATGCAGAGGAGCGGGGTCGGGAGGAGCTTCTCTGAGCTGCGAAGCTGTGGGTGGGAAGCAGATGTTGCCAGGCTGGGGTACTGCTTGTGCAGGGCCCCGGGCTGCCGGTGGGGGGCCCCCAGCGCCCACTCTTACCTTCATGATGATGTAAAAGGTCAGATAGAGCAGCAGGTTACAGATGAAGATCCCCAGCATGTAGGAAGCAAAGTCCCTGGGCCGAAAGATCAGTCCACAGAGCGCACTGAGGTTAAGGAGGAATGACTTTGTAGGCGTAAAGGTGGATTTATAACATTCTTGGCTGCTTCACTCCCCACTTGTATTTTGGGGAGGAGGGGAATTAAAAAAAACCTTTAACCTATGTAAATTACTACACCTCCTTCAGACCTGGCATTTTTGATGGTTGTAAAGTTCTCATAAGTGGATGTACCACAATCATCTTTCCTCTCTAGATGTCTTGCAGCTTTTCATTATTCTAAAGAACACTGCAATGAATAAATGAATACCTTCAGACATAGCGTGCTTTTCTTTTCTCTCTTTTTTTTTTTGGCATTTAAGATTAGTTCATAAGACTAGATTATTAGAAGTAGAAAAATATCTCAAAAGTTGGCTGGACACACATTATCAAATTTTTGCTAGCTGTCTATGGTTTTTAAATTAATACCAAAGTTTATTTTGATTGGGGTTTAGCATTAGCATTTAGCATGTTCCAAATTTCTATTCAGTTACAATAAAACTCTTTATTATAGAACCCTTCCTATGTCCTTGTTTTGAAAAGCTTGTTTTTAATAAATACAGACACACACACATACATAGTTGGATTTCTATCCTCTCCATGCTGCTTCACTAATTTGTTTCTAATTTCTAATTTTGGGTACCTGTGTTATTATTTTAGAATATGTTATATTATCTGGTTAGCCTAGCTTGTACTACCCAATATGGTAGCTACATGTGGCCATTAAATTTAAATTAATGAAAATTAAATAAAATTGAAAATTCAGTGCCTCAGTCACACTAGCCACATTTCAAATGTTTAGTAACGATATTTGGCTAATAGCTACTGTAAGGGACAATGCCGTGTAGAAGATTTATATCATTCCAGAAAGTTCTGTTGGATAAAACTGGACTAGTCATTGTACTCCTCTGCCCTTCCTTCCTTCCATTAATCTTCTTTTGTGAGACCTTTGGAAATTTTGTGCTAAGTAGGAAAATAATTTCAGAATAAAATCCCATTAATTCCAATTTTAAGTCAAAATTTATGCATTAACTTGAGAACTAATATCTTTACAACAGTTAATCTTCCCACCCAGGGCACGACATCTCTCTTTGTTCAGTTAACTTTTCCTTTTTGTCTCCTAATAAGGTAATTAAATTTTCTGTAGAAAGAGTCCTCCTGTCACTCAAAGTTTATTCCTAAGTATTTGAAATGTAAAGCTCTTATTAATGGACTCTCTTTTTGTTCACTTTGTATTCCAACCAACTTTGTTCTGTATAATATAGGAAATTTCCTCCTCCCAGAATTTGAATTCTTCAATGTACCAAAACTCTTGTAAGCTTTTCACTGAGATTCATCCATTATTAGCACTTGCCACATTTGGTTATCTCTCTTTCTCTCTGTGTGTGTACCTACAGATGTACACGCACATCTCTCTCTCTATGTGTGTACAGACACACACACCATTCTTCTTCATGACTGTATGAGAGTGATTCCTTTTAAAATAACATTCAAGGTTCATGTTAAATCACTCCATGTCTTGTCATGTCCAGGAGAAACTGAGGATGGAGGAACAAAGAGGAAGGTAACCCCCTCCCAGGCCATCACAGTGTTGGTGTGTCATCACACCTCATTCACCCCTGCAGGCCTGGGTGCCCAAGGAGCTCCTGTGCAAGAAAAGAGAGGCCATTCACCTTGTCTTGTGAGCAGATGATGGGTTTGGTTTTGGTTACGTGAGAGGCAGGGACAAACCAGGTGATTGTGAGCACTGGGGACATGGTTATCGGTTGCTTCTTATCAAGCAGTTGGTCCCTTTCCTCCTACCAGCACCCAGCACCCTGTCTTATAGTCATCAGGACGGTGGGGTCTGCCCTCAAAGAGTGGTCAAGAAGAGCACCACAGGTGAGCACTGCCAAGAACCACCCACCTTGACGTATCCCTACGTAAAGGAAGGGTCCTTCACAGGTGTGGATCTTACCCAGAGTCATCCCTGGGTGACAACACTATGGGAAGATTTTTCCAGAAGCATATGCCCCAAATAAGATTTGAATTCTCATGACCAGATTCTGGCTTCCCCTGAAGGTGTGCCTCTTCTTCCATTCCTTTCATGTCTTAAAGGGGGACAGGGGGATGGAGTCATCTTTCCATCAGAGGTCGCTGACCTTTATAGTACATCAGCTAAGATCACGAATAAAAGCAATTAAACTTACTGATTTTTTTTAGGGATTAATGAAATATCTCACTTACATTCTAAAGTTGAGAACAGGTTGTATAAAATAGTTACAGATAGCAAAATATATGTCTGTTGTACTGTTCTATTTTGAAGCCATTTGAAGAAGAAAAGCCAAGGTGATAATGAAGGGAAAGAGGAAGAAGAAGGACACTGGGGTGGTAGGAAGATTGAGACCTACAGGGAAAGAAATAAATAGGAAAGAGACTTGTACACACACACACACACATCCACACCCACACCCACACCCACACTTAGTAAGAAACGGAAATGTCTACTGGGTAGCGTTTATGGAGAGTTCACAAGAATTTAAAACTATGCTTCATTTGTGCATCTACTGTCGTAATCTCTATCATCTAACTATTTATGTAGTCTGCTGACATAGATAACAAATTTGATGTTGGTCTTGTTGAGCAAATGAACGCAATGCATCAATGCGTTAAACTCAACTCAACATTTGAGGAGAGGCCACTGTCAGTACACTAGGCTTCCTAGTGCATTCTTTGGAGGAGGAAAAATACCTTTCTTTCAAGTCCCTAGAGCAGGCACAGTCCTACACTCACCTTAGTTTCAGATTTCCTTATAAAAATGACAGCCAAGGAAAGAGAAACCACAGTGTTACAGACATCAGCAAAGAGAAAAGACGTGTCTTCCTAAGGCTACTTACAAGGACCCGTTAAACAGATTCCCCACGATGAGCAACACCATTCTGTCCTGGTAAGGAAACATCAAATGAGAGGCTGCACGCATTGCTTTTCTTTTAACTTACCACAGGGGAAGCATCGATTACGGGAGAACAGCTGCCCGGTGGAAGTTTCCATGGTTCTGAGAGAGCTGCACCTGCCCTCAGACCCTAATCCCCCATGAGAACAAAAGGCAAGGCCTGGGACTGAATAGAGTGACTTTGTTAAAGAAGATGTGGTGAGTAAACAGGACTCTTACTGTTTCCCCCCAATGTGGAGGGTCGCTGGGCACTTGGGGCCCACTTCTCGGTGAGCAGGTTGGAGGTGTGTGCAGCTGATGAGTAGTTAAAAGCTTTCTGCTCCTGGTGTTCCCCTGTGTTGTGTTACTTCGTGGGCCATGAGGCGGCTCTTGGGACTCGGATGGGAGGTGCTGGTTTCCTATCCATTACTCTGGCTCCAGGGAGGCCCTGCAGCTCCCAGGCTCCTGGTCTCTAAACACACAGCCTCAACACTAAAGACATTGGTAGTGGGGAAAATAGGAAAGGACCATCTCAAAGGAAAATGGCTCTGACAGAGATTAATTCACAATCTGGTCCTGCACATTTGCATACAACTTAAAACTTCTGGTGGTTTCTGATTATACTTTAATTTGCATGGCCTCATCGACTTTTTAAAAGTGGCAATTCCCCCTGGGCGCCTGGCTGGCTCAGTTGGTTAAGCGACTGCCTTCGGCTCAGGTCATGATCCTGGAGTCCTGGGATTGAGTCCCGCATCGGGGTCCCTGCTCGGCAGGGAGTCTGCTTCTCCCTCTGACCCTCTCTCTCTCTCAAATAAATAAATAAAATCTTAAAAAAAAAAAAGTGGCAATTCTCCGTCTTTGTGGGTGATCCATTCGGTTTGGAGGAAATATCTTCATTTAAAAAAATAAATTCATCCTGGGGTGTCTGGGTGGCTCCAGTGTTAAGTGTCTGCCTTCGGCTCAGGTCATGATCCCAGGGTCCTGGGATGGAGCCCCACATCGGGCTCCCCGCTCGGCGGGAAGCCTGCTTCTCCCTCTCCCACTCCCCCTGCTTGTGTTCCCTCTCTCACTGTGTCTCTCTGTCAAATAAATAAAATCTTAAAAAAAAAAAATGAATCCATCTATCAGAAAGGCTAAAACATTGGCCCCACCAAATATCAGTGACGATGTAGAGCAACAGGAACGCTCATTCATTGCTGCTGGGAATGCAAAATAGTATAGCCACTACGGACGATGGTTTGACAGTGTCTTAGAAAACTAAATATATTTTTGTCAATATATTTTGACAAATATAATTTGTCAAAACTCAAAGAATGTACAAGGGCAAGAGTGATGATGATCGGGAAACTGCCCTCCTAGGTATTTGTCCAAAGGAGTTTATAACATAGGCCCACACAAAAACCTGCACACGGATTTTTTTTTTTTAAGTAGACTCCATGCCCAGTGCAGAGCCCAATGTGGGGCTCGAACTCATGACCGTGAGATCAAGACCTGAGCCGAGATCAAGAGTCAGATGCTCAACCGACTGAACCACTCAGACAGCCCTGCACACAAATTTTTATAGCAGCTTTATTTGTAATTGTCAAGTTACAAATTGCCCTTCTGCAGGTGAATGGATAAACAAAATGTAGTAATGCATCGAGACCCTGGAGTAGTATTCAGTGCTAAAAAGTAATGAGCTACCAAGCTATGAAAAGACATGGAGACATCTTAAATGCCTATTATTAAGTGAAAGAAGCTAATCTGAAAAGGCTAAATTCTATATTATTCCAGCTATATGACGTTCCGGCAAAGGCAAGACTAAGGAGACAGTAAAAGGTTCAGTGGTTGCCAGGCATTGCAGGGCGGGGGGGTGGGGCATGTGTGGTGGGAAGTACAGTGGAGCACAGAGGATTTTGGGGGCAGGGAAACTACTTTGTATGATACTGAAGTGGTGAATCCTGTTGTTACAAATTTGTCAAAACTCAAAGAATGTACAAGGGCAAGAGTGAACTGTAAACTACGGACTCGGGATGATTATGATGTGTTCATGTAGGCTCACTGACTCTAACAGATGTGCAGCTCTGGTTGGGGGTGTTGATAGTGGGAGAGGCTGTGCATGGGTGGGGGAAGGGATTGATGGGAAATCTCTGTATTTTCTGCTCAATTTTTTGTGATCCTAAAAAGTGGCTCTAAAAAAATAGTCTATTAGGGAAAAAAAAAAAAGCCTGCGTCACTTAATGTAAGCAAGCAAACAAAACATTAATTGCTCTTCCTGGCTCACAGCTAAAGCATGCTTAACTCTCAAAATACTTACAGGTCCTACTGGATTTTTAAGTTCTCCTGTGAATAAAACCCTTCAGCCTCAATCCCTTCAATTTTTAGTGCCTATAGCTCCTGCCCAAGCTCTAGAAGGCTGAAATACTCCTTTATGTAAACATCCTTGGATCGTAAACTATTAACAGGTACTTAGGGAACTCCTGTGTGCGGGCCCCAAACAGCATCACCAGTTCTGGTCACAGCATCCTGTAAAGGGTGGGGCAGTGACTCAAGGGACGTATGTAGCCTTCCTAAGGTCACTGGCCAGTGAGCCAAGATAGAGCTGGGACCAGGGCCCCAATCCCTCTGTTCTGTGTAGCAATGTACAATATACTGAAAACAATGATGGTGAATTTTTAGGACTTGTATTTCAGCCACTAAGTAATAACCATCATTTGGAAAGAATATTCTTGCCCACTGTAAAAATCAAACAATGTATAAAAATCAAACAAATGTATAATGTGGAAAGCGTAAGCTCTTACTGAAAGCAACTGGAGTGACAGGTGCCCCAGTTTGCTTGGGACAGGCCTGGTTTGAGCCTGCTGTCTTGGTACAATTACTGAGTGGGTGCTCCTTTCCCTTCCCCAAGTGAAATAATCATACCTCTTTGGATGATTTTATACACGGATGCCCTGCCTTGATCCTTCCCCACGGCAATTGTCACTGTTTAGTAGTTTTCTATGTATGCACATATGTTCTCTGTATACACTAGCAACATTTCATGTATAAAAATAGATCCATCCCAGCTTGCTTTTTCATGAGCGAGAAGAGTAAGTAACATGCTTCTTCCCCCTAACTGGACCTCAGCCACCCTAGGCCATCTGGCTCTCTTGATTTAGGGAACCTGAGTGTCTGCCCCGAGCCTGCCCCTCCTCCTGTTCCCTGGCTCTCTGGGAGAAGGACAGGCACACCGGAGTGCGCACGTACCTTGTACAGAGGTCGGCCGCACTGCTGGGCGAAGTCCATGTAGAACACCATCAAGGCCCGTCGGAAAAGCCCCAAGTCTGCCGATGACACAATTGCATGGTAAGGCCGAGTCAGAGGCCATGCAAAATACTCCCATATGGCCCAAGCTTGGAGGGCCAAGATGATGTCGCCTTCACCTTAATGCTTTGCACACCTAATAGGTCAGCAGTACATGTTGGCCTTAAAAAACAGAGCCTGCGGCCCCCGGGGGCTGTCCCGCGAGGCAAGCGAGATCCAGGCATCACCCTGCAGAACGGCAAGTGAGGTGGATACAGTAACAAGCGCTCACCAATAATCTGGGCGACTGACCAGCCCTTCTGTGGTCTCCTTCGGCTAAGATTCCCTTTGTTTACAGTTTACTCCAGTGCTGTTTCCTTCAGAGCAGAGATGTGATGGGGCCCCTCAAGCTGCCTTAAAACATCTGCACTCTCTAGAGGATGGGAATCTTAGCTTGCAAAAATTCTACTCTGTATTTCCCTGTGTGGTTATAAATCAGTAAGAACTGAACTCAGGCGTCCTAAAGTCTAAGAAGCATGCTCAGAAAGCCTAAACTTGTGCGGAAGCTGGAATCAAAGGGATGTAAGTTAAGATGGCAAGCAAAAGATAAGGAAAGAATTTTTAAATGCGAGCCTTCAAAAGCACAGGATGAAACACACCAAGAGTGTGTGTTACGATTGTTGTATCACAACAATGTGATTGTATCACAGAGTGAGGGTGGCAGGTGGAGCTTCCTGGAAGCTGTCTACCCTTGCACACATCACCAGGAAGGCTGGGGTCTGCTCAAAGCAAGCATTTCCATGAGGGTGGACCCCAGCTCTGTTGTGAATGCTGTCCCCCTTCACGTCTACCCCTGGGGTCAGTGGAACCAGACCTCACTAGACAGGATATGCTGAGGGATGGAGGAGGGAGGGGTGGGTCCATGAAGTAGCCCAGGAGAGGCACGGGGCAGGCTGGGTTGGAGTGTATCCCTGCCCCTGAGCCCCTCTCTGCCACCCCCCCACCACCCACTGAACCTGCCCAAGCTGGAAGGGGTGCTCAGGGAGCAGCCTGGCAGGACAGCCTGGTGGGTGGCTTTGTTAAGAAAACAACCGAGAACCCTGGGAAGGGTGGCTGAACGTTACCTGTACCAGACACATCTGAATCAGTGGGAAGCGGAGAAGAAATGAGAAAAGAAAATGACATAAGAAGGTAGCCAAACAGGTAAACTCCTGGTCATTTTGTTTTTCTCCCAAAATGATGACTTTCGTTTTCTTTTCCAATTGAGAAAAAAAATAACGTTTGCTCATCACAGAGAACACAGAATCTTTCTGCCTGGCTCAAACATTCCCAAGTCTACTATTCCTCAAAGAGGGAAGCAGACGTCTGTCTGTCCCCATCTCCTTTGGGCACCACTTGCACTGTGCACTCCGTCCTCTCTCATGAGCAATCCCTGCCATCCCTTTCTCCGACTAGCACAGTTGTGACCTGGGCAAGTAGCTCTATGGCTTTCTGTCCTCCTTATGAAATGCTCTGCCCCATCGCTGCTGTCTTTCCTGTGTCCACGGTCATTTTCAGGTGTGGCCTAAGGGCCACAGAGAAGGGTGTATGTCATTCTAGAAAGCAGAAGCAGCTTATAAAATGGGCAGAGAGAGGCTGGTGTTGGCTGAGCCACTGTCCACTAACCCAGCTTCCCGTCTTTGGACTAAGTTTAGTTGTGACCATTGTCACCATAGAATGGCACATTTTCCTTTAGACGCCGGTAAATCTGTGACCACTTGAGGAAGACTCCCTGGGTAGAGAAATTGAACATACTCAGTGATGCTGTGCACTGGCTGTCCTGCATTTACTTTGGCCACGCCTCTGTCCTGCACTGTGCCCCCGGGGAGGCAGACTGCAGGACCCTGTAAGTGGATTTGCTCCCTCTCTATGGATTTGGACAATGGGAAACCCCAGCAGGAGACTGGAGCGGCTCAGGACGGGGAGTGAGCGTGGAGTATTCATCCACATGGTGCCCTCCCTGTAAGGTTGCCTCAGACTGGCCCATGTCTGTCAACTAAAGGTCACTGTTTCCTTCAGAGTGACTTCCTCTCCTTCCACATTTTGGTAACCACTCCCTCCCTGTTCTGGTAACCAACCCCTCCCTGTTCTATGGGCTCTCCTGCTCCTGACCCCAGGTTGCCAGGCTACCTCATTCACTCTCCTCTACCCCAACCTCGTCTAATGAATGGTCCCTTTGTGATTAAATCTTCCATCTTTGGGTGTGACATCTTTTTCCTGGTGAGACCCTCCAGACTATCATATGGTCATAATATAATACATTCCATTTCTCCTTTTTAAGAAGGTAAACTAATACAGTATGGCATAATGGTATGGGGCAAAAGTGGTATAAATATACTAACACCTCCGTTATGTATTACTCATGGTCACTAACGTTTCATTTATCTGTATTCAAGTTTATTTTTCCAACTCTGGGAGAACCCAGGAGTAGGCAGAACAACCGCGCTTCAGATTATTTCCCTTTTCAAAGTTGACTTTGTATGACTTCACTCACCTTTGAGTCTAGAGGTTGGGGCGTGACCAGAGCCCCTAACCAAAGCTCTATACAACCAGTTAGTGATGCTTCCACTGGGCAACTTGAAGATATGTTGGGTATGTTAACGCCAAAGGCAAATCTACTGACTGAGCCCAAGGGGAAAACTAAACTGCCAAAATTGTTTTATTCAGCTTTCTAATCTTAAAGCTACTTGTTTATGTAGAATCATTCTTAGACCTGGCCCTATTTTAAAGGCCCTCGCTCCCCAGTGAGTGAGGGGTCTGCCAGGCGAGGGAACTATTCCTTCTCCTTCTGGGCAACATTCTGAATTCCCAGACCCCAGAATTCCCTGCCCAGATGGACTTGAGTCCATTTGCAGAGCCTACGTAGCCCCCTTCCTCCATTGACCTGAGGGCAGATGGTGCTGCTAGAGTGAGCACCTCTAGGGGCAAGGAGTGGCCACCTGGATGTTGGGCAAGAATGTTCATGTACATACCTGTGAGAGCCCTCAAGATGCAGGACAGAGCCAGAGTGGAAAGAAAAGACTGGTAGAGGATGGGGACCAGCTTTGTTCTAGATTGTTCTTGAGGAACTGACAATTTTAAATTTGCACCTGGACCTTCTAGGTTATAATGAAGGCATATCATATTTATCAGTTTGTTGGTCTTCCTTCCTTCCTTCCTTCCTTCCTTCCTTCCTTCCTTCCTTCCTT